AATCAATCAATCAATCAATCAATCAATCAATCAATCAATCAATCAATCAATCAATCAATCAGTCAGTCAGTCAATCAATCAATCAATCATTTATTTTACCACGTTCCGTCGAAGAGCTAACAACTCGTTCAATATACGAATGTGTGACTTAGCTTGGGAGAGTGAGTCTTATAATTCTTAATTTAATTTGCTTATCAGTCTGTGAAAGACCCAGCACTTGTCATGATTACTGTGTGGTTTAGCTATCACGGTTGTATTTTGATATTTCAGCGCAGTTCAGTTTAAACACGAACCATTCGTCCACCCCGTACGTAAAGCGAATCTCTTGCTACCCCGCCAACGCAAGCCGTTTTAGTGTCTTCATCTCTCGAAGTGTTTGACTATAAGAGATGACTTCTTTCCATAATAGATGTTTGCTGCGCAGCACACAGAGACAGTGATAGAAAAAGATGAGAAATATGCCAGAGTGGTTAATTAAATATTGCTGGCAAAGACAGTCAGACGTTACAGGGATAACCCCTTCGTCAGCTTCTGTTACTCAAACGCTTGAGCTCGAGACAGCAACTGTTAGTTGAATTAAGAGTGACTGCTTCAGTCATGTTTATTTAGCTATTCATCCCGCTTACACTGCAACCACTTCCTGAAGGTGACCAAAATCGCCCTCTGGCGGCTTTACTTTACTCAAGTGTGTGAATATTTTGAATCGATCCGACGTATATCAAAAGCAAGTTTTCAGCACGCTCTGTCCTTGATAAGAGGTTTAAACATCCAGGCCAGATTATCTAAGCTTATCCAAAAAAAGCTCGATCAAACACTGAAAATGTTCGATTATTGGCTTCTAGTTCGTCATCTAACCTTAATTGAAGTCGTCTTTGAATACCTTTAAACATATATTTTATGCTTGTTAAATTCTGTCCTTTATAGAAACTGCTTACCTTCATTTCGGGCATCAGAAACACATCTTAATCTTTATACGAAGAATGGTCGATGTCTTAAAGTGATAGTAGCTAACAATTTTGAAACGTTGTTTATGTCGAAAACACAATTACCGCCGACTCCCTTCCGGAGAACGCAAGAAAAATGCGAATAAATGTTTTCCTTTTCGATCTGTTCAGTTAAAACCTCTCACCTTGTGATTTTAGTTTATCGCTTGTTGAAGCTCACTGCAGTTTACATTAAGCATCGCCCCGCGTCAAATCGTAGCAGACACGAAATCTGCATAACATCGACACGATCGTACGGATCTCGTAAGCGGAAATGTGTTGTATAATTCAGTGTTTACTATAAGTCAAGCTAATTTATTTGATCAACAAAGAAGACGTTTTCCGTTTGTCAGATTAAGAGGTATAAGGGCTTTTAGCACAAATAAGGAAATAATTTTTGGGATCTTCATTTGAAAAGAAAAGACCCATAAACTTTACTTAAGTAGTAGACGATGCTGCATCGACTACGCTCGTTGTTTTCGTTAGAAATAGTAATAATATTTCGCAATATACTCAATATACTTAAGTCGGGAGATCGAATTACCGGTTTTAAGTTCGACGACCAATTTACTCTTGAAAGAGGATTAAATTTAACTTAATTCGGCTTAGTCAGCTTTATCTGTTATATGTAACCAGCGTATCTTATAAAAAGAATCTGATTACAAGCAGTGTGAAAAAAAATATTTTCAGAAAACAGTCAGCCAAAATGAAAGAATCAGTTATGGCTACCTTGGATCACAGAGAGCTAAAATTTGTAAGACGCTCTAATGTAAGCGAGCTTGCCGTTTCGCTAATACATTCATTATTGAGCGAAAAATATAAATTTTTGAACGACAAGACTTTAGGTATCTAAATTAACCATTTTATGTTTATCAGATCTTGAAAGAAAATTGAGTTGGGCGGTTTTACTGGAGCCATAACATTTTATCCATGTCTGCTGGATTTAAAAGACGGGATTTAAAAACAAGTAAACAATGTCTACGGTAATAACTACACCATATCGTGTTTGCGTGCACAG